TGATGGCACCTAGTCTCTAAACTAGGTAAACCTAACATTAACTGAGATAAGATTTGCCCCCCCCCCCCTTTCTTCTTCTTCTTCTTCTTCTTCCCTTTTCTTCCTTTCCATCTTTTTTTGAGCCGAGGGTCTATCAGAAACAGTCTCTCTACCTCTTCAGGTAGGGGTAAGGTCTGCGTACACACTACCCTGCTCAGACCCCACCTGTGAGATTATACTGGGTATGTTGTCGTTGTTATTGTTTTGTTATATATATATATCAAATTAACTTTTCTTCCACTGCAAAACAAAAGACAACGAAAGCAACGTTGCATCTTCGTTAAATTCCAAAGGATAGTTTGTAGCAAGGTTGGCAAGCTCATTTCCCTTGCAATGCTACCTTCATTTGATAGCTATTCTATTTCCTCTTATAGTAATTATAAACATGAAACTCCAATAACAGTTTTCTAACTGAATATTAGAATCTCTAACCAGATGACATGTAAGATTTAAAGCCAATTGTATATGATATTAGGTGAAAAATTATAGTATAAATAAACACACAATGTATGTATAATTTAAGTCTAAAGCAGTGAGTGTGCCTATACCATTTTCTGAATCATGAGTACTTTTGGTGGGGTTGCTGTGAGTGTGCTTTAGGTTTGATCAAAATATCTACTATTTTATCCCTAAAATACTTCTTTTAAAACAAAACTCCTCATATAATTTCACTCTCTCCTAGTTTTTCAAAACCTAAATAGCCCATGCCTCTGCAATTCTCTACACCAGATTTCCATCGGCAATTTGAGGTAACAAAATTCACCTGTCTTCAGCATATTGTTATACCTATGTGACGTGTATTAATTATTAACCTCAAGTAACAGATTCCTACGCTTAGTTGTATATTTCTATTGTGGGATATTAACTGTTAGACATGTATTCTCTTATTTTTAATAACGAGTAATAAAAAGGGATGAAAGCAACAATACCTTATAGAATATAACGTATATACTTAGAGAAAAGACAATATCATCCTAAATTTCTCCATTGTACTTGATTTTTTCACATATTTACCATAAACAATACACATTATTAAGTGCTTGTTTCTTCTCTACAAATACTTTGTGCATTATTTAAGTTTTTTCCTTAATTTTTGTTAATTTATACTCCCTACATTCTAATTTATGACTGTATACTTATCATAACATAAATTATATTTATAAAAAATGATATTATCTAATCATTTTTGTATTTAAAATAACATAATAAATAGATTATTTTGAGTTTGAATTTATTTAGAATCTAAATTTTTGAAGGAAGTGACGCCTTTAGTAGTGTAAATAGTTATAAAAGTCATTAAGTCGTTTTAATAGAAAAAAGAGCTTATCAACACTTTTTAACCAAACACTTCCGTTGTTTATTATCAATTTCAGCACTTTTATCCAAACACATAACTACTTATTTATTTAAATCAGTTTCAGCACTAAAAAAGCTTTTCAACACCTAATGTTTGTTAGCTACTTTAAATTAGCTAAGCCAAACAGGCTCTTAAACTTATAAGTCAAGAAACAAGGGTCCAAATAAACCCAAAAGCTTTCCGGAACGGAACTAACCAACCCTGCAAGTCATAAAATCATAAACACACATGTGTGAAGCATAAAAAGGGGTAACGAGGTGATAAGTGGGGATTTTGACTGCTTATTAGCACCTTTTAGCTTTTATTTTAGTCCGAAAGTATTGAATTATGTTCTCGAAACTAATAAAATTGTGCAAATTGCAGGAATGCTAGAAGTTTGGTCTCCTGAGATGAAATTGGACTCAAAAAGGAGTGTTCCGAAGCAACAGGTAATAAAGAGAACAGAAGCACAAATGTGCAATCCGCAGAAGAAATTGCGGACCGCAGAATTCCATTTGCCGCCGCAAACCAAGAAGAAAAATTTAAAAGAACTTTCAGCAATGTGCGGACCGTACATGAATTGTGCGGCCGCAGAACTGGGCTTAAGAGTCATAGATCAGAGAGTAAGCAAAAATACCAGGTCCAGGAGCCTTTATGAAGTGCGGACCGTACAAGAATTGTACGGCCGCAGAAGATTGCCTCGCGGCCGCAGTCCAAAAATGTGCGGCCGTAGAAGATTGCCTTGCGGTCGCAGTCCAAAAATGTGCAGCCGCAGAACTCACATTCCTACCAACTGAAGAAATCTGCGGACCGTGCATGGAATTATGTGACCGCAGAACCTACTGATGGGCATTTTTGTCCGCGATTGTTTGCCCTGTATAAATAGACGAGTTTCACAAAATTAGGTCAAGTTGGAATATATAAAACTGTTGGAGCCGTTTCTTTTAGCTATTTTAGGAAGTTTTAGCTTATTTGAGTATTTTAACATTAGATTTCATCATTTTAATCTTCCATTATGAGTTTAATTAGTTTTTCAACTTTATTTTCTTCAAATCCCATTATAAGTAGCTAGAGTTTTACTAGGGTTATGACCCAACTGTGTAAACCTTATGCGTGATTAATTTTATGCTTGTTTATGATTTGGTGTTGATTATCTAACTTAGTTCATGCTTCAATTTTAGAATTAATGGTTGCAAACATTGATTCATGCCTATTTGACTTAGTCTCTACTTGAGAAAGAGGGACCTAGTCTAGGATAACTTAGCTAACAAGGAATTGGGTTAATTGAGAGATTGATTAACCTAATTAAAGGGTTCAAACTAGAGATAGTAAGAACCCGACTTGAGCTCTTATCAACTGTTTTGGTTGATACCCATTTGGACTTGAGAAAGCCAAATTGGGCACAATCACTCTCTAACCGAGAGGTATTGTATGGTTAACGTGGAGTTGAGAGCTATAATACACCCCAATAAACAAAACAAGTATAAACATCTTTATCCCATTAGGCAAACTCCTACGTTATGGTCACATCCCTAGGCCTTTAATCCAATTGGAAAAACCTCAAAAACATTTATCTATAATCTATTTTCTTTAGCTTGCATTCATTAGAGTAACAATAGAAATAGAAAACAAAACCTTGTTGTGGAATTTCAATCTTAGATAACCCATTTGCTTGCTTCAAATATATACTCCTAACACCCTTCATAACTCTAAGTGGATTCGACCCCGACTCATAGTTGGGTAATTATAATTGCATACGACCGTATCATATCTCCTATAGAGGTGTGTTGTAGACGTTATCAATTTTAGGCGCCGTTGCCGGGGACATAAAACGGTGTTAGATATATATTTGAGGGTGTTTTCGGAATATCTTCTTTTCCTTCCATGTTACTAACTTGTTTGAGAAATCGTAGGTATAACCATGGCGAACAATGAGCTCGGAAATTTACCTTTGGGTGATGTAGACGTCAAGGATGAGCAAATTGATGAGGTTCTTCTTGAACCTCAAGCCAATAGAATAGGCCGGGTGCCTCATGACAATGTCCCCGCCCCATCACCACCTCCACCACAAGTGGCTCCACACAGGATATTACCTAATGAAGGATATGCAAGTGCAATAGTCCCTCCCCGTATTAGGGCGGGCAACTTTCAAATCACCAATGTGATGCTCACTTTGCTTGAGCAACGAGGTTTCTTCACCGGTGCTCCAACTCAAAATGCGTACAAATATTTGAAGGGGTTTGTGGACACTTGTTGGGGGAGCAAACAAACAAATGTCTCTGAGGATACATTGAGGCTAAGGCCTTTTCCCTTCTCTCTACGGGGGAAAGCTTTATATTGGTTGGAATGATTTCCAAACCATTCCATTCACACTTGGGATGAGTTGGCGGAAAAGATTATTTCTAAGTTCTTCTCTCCGGGGCACATGGCTACACTTCGGGATGAGATTTTGGCATTCAAGCAAGAGCCGAATGAACCACAACACGGGATATGGGAACGTATATAACAATGGTTAAGGAATGTCCCAAAAACAATATGACGGAGAACATGATTCAACAAACTTTCTATCGTATGATTAACACACCCAACCAATGTGTAGTGAATCAACTTGCCGGTGGGAACTTCATGACTACGCCTTATGCGGAGGCGAGTGAGATTTTGGATGAGATGGCAGAAACGTCATCGGCTTGGCAATCCCGGGCCAATGTTCCACAAGGTGACCCAAACATGATTCACCTTCACAAAGAATTGCAAGACCATGGGCAAGCCATTGCCGAGTTGACAACCACCATGAAGCAACTAGCAAAGGCCCAAGTAAAAAAATGCAAAATCCCAAGCAATTCAATGGCATGGAGGGAGTGAACATGATGGTGAACAAGATGAGGACTAAAGGTCCACAAGTGCAAAATTGAGTGGAGAATTATGTGCAAGAAGATAGTGGTTTTGATCAAGATGATTCTTATAATGAACAAGAAGAGGAGGTGTAATATGTGAACAACTTTCAAGGGGAAATAAACAACTTCCAAGGCCCAAACCAACAACAATAGCGACCTCAAAACAATCAAGACAATTGGAATTCTAACAACCAAGAAAATTGGAGTGGTGGCAACAATCAAGGGAATTGACATAACAATAACAATTAAGGAAATTGGAGTGGAAATAATCAAGGAAATTTGGGGGGGGGGGG